AATGAAAATATTAGAGAAACATAAATTTTGCAAAGAGAAAAAAATCAGACCCAAAAATATTTTAGAGTGAAAAATAAATTTATTAGAGAAAAATATGTGAAAAAAATAAAAAATAGATTTTAAAATATAGAAATCTGTTTTTGAAAACCTTTTTAAAGACCTCATAAAATTGAATGGGTTATTTTAAAAACAAAAAATTAAAAGTAAAAAGAAAAAGAAACGATATATTTATCAAACCCCCTTATTTATTTATAAATTAAGAGTCCAATATTATTTCCGGAAACAGCTAAAAATATATCTTAATAAAACAAACTTATGAAGGTAATTTTGGATTTTAAAACAGTTGACTTTCTGCTGGCATTTTATTGCATTATTTAAGATATACAACCAAAAGAACAGCCAAATATTAAATGTGAAACTGAAGCCAATAGGGAATCACAAATCACATAAATGTTAGATGAAAAATAGTAGATTTTTTCTTTTTTTTTTCCACAAAATAATTATTAAATCCTACGTGGCATCAGAAACATGTCCTCCAATTGTTTGGTGTATCAAAAAACACAGAAAGAAAACAAAAAGAAAAAAACTTTTTAGCCTTTTCTATTCCTGTGCATAAATCCATCAGAAAAAACAGCAAAAAATCAATAGAATTTTGTTTGTTTTTTTAAAACCTTTTGATTCCGTTGTTTTTTTTAAACCTTTCGATTCCGAATTAATAGAATTTGTTTCAATGAAGTAAAGCGTATTATAGGTTAATTTATAAGCATATCAACATTTTTATCACTGGTTCATGTAATTTTATTTAATATTTAACATAAAAGTAAAGAGAAATCTATAATTTAAAAACTCTACCATCACATAAAGCCATATATAAATGACTAGACTAAGGTGGTTTTGACGCTATTTTTAAATGGATAGAAATATTTATAGTTAATTAAAAATATTTTTTCAAGTTTTGCATGGTAAAAGTTTACTCCAAAACAATACTTTCAAAATATTTTATGACGAAAGTATTGACGTTTAAGTAAATTTCTAAAAAGTGACCTGTGGTAAAAAAAAATCAATTTCTTATTTACTAATTTCTCAAAAAAAAAAAAAGAAAAAACCTATTTACTATCACTTTAATTATTTACAAACTATGTTTGCCTAACAGTTGACTTACCCAAGCTCCATCTTAAATTTTGTAATTATATGTCACTCTAAGTAAAATTATTTAAAAAGACGTGAGCAGTAATGTGAATATTTGCAAATTTAGGCACCCACTCAAGATAATTTAGACATCAAAGTTTTACTTTTTTTTTTTTAATTTAAAGAAACCATGCCCAAAAAACATCAAACCATTTTGTAAGTTATTATAAGTAGGCACAGCAGTTGGCAATGTTAGCCGCAACAAAAAAGTTTAGGTCGAAAAAAAAAGTTTCATTACCATATTACTTACTATACAACCCATTTGTAATTATTCATATATTAATTAATTAAATGACTATTCTTGCATTAATTTTTCTGAAAACAGTATTTAAAATCACCAACAGAAGGGAACACGTGTCGGCCTCACGCGTTGTACAGCCAGACAATAAAAAGGAAGTCTGAAAAGTTAATGAGAAAGAAATATAGTAGAGTTCGTTCGTTAGTTCGCGAAAATTTAATACAAACAGAGTAGAGAAGACGTGGCGAAAACTGGTTGGTCCACATGAGCAAAGCAATAAATAAAAAGATCCATAATTTGGAGGAGTTGGACCAACCAGCGGCCAACTACCAACCCGATCCGAAAGGTCATCCCGCAGCCCACTCGGCTCCAGCATAGACGCTATTTTGCTCATTAAATATTTATTATTGTAATTATTGCACCAAGCTCAGTCAGCAGTCACGTCTCTCCAGCGCCAGAGTCAAAATTCCCCGGGGGTTTTAAAAAAAAAATAAATTTCCAGACACAAAGAGGGGACAAAATATTGATTTTGATGGATATTTTTAAAATTATTATAAGCATATCAACTTTGTAATTAGTATATTATTGATATTTTTTTATACGGTGAATATTTTGTCGATTTTTTAAAATAATACAAATACATAAAAATGTCAATAGAAATATCGATATGTTGAAAGATGTTTAATACCACAGAGTTTAGTAACTTTAGAGGATTTAATTTATGGATATAAAATGTCTGAATTTAAAATTATATTTGGAGGGAAGATGTGTGTGGGAAGTTTGAATAGTGGATTATTGTTCAAGTTCATCGATTTATCTAATTAAATACGAATTTGAAAATTCTTCATTTCAATGGTTCGTTGAACTTGGAAAACCAAACCCGCCTTTTAGTCCATCTATTATCCCATATAGTTTGAATTATAACTTGGGAATAGGAAAGTCATTTGGTTAAGGCTAAAATATGAAATGTTCTCTAATTTTTTTTTGGTAATTATTAACAGCTATCCATCACTATTAGGAAAGCCACTTTTTATCAATTATTTCCATATATAAAAAATTCTACTAAAATTACCAACAAAAAATTTGACATGTCATTGAATTATTATTTTATTGATATGGTTTATCACTTAAAAAATATATGTTTGTTGATCAGCGAGTAAAATTTGTTGAACAAGTTGAGTTTGTAGGTTAAGTAACATCTAAATGGTCAACTTGAACACAACTCAACGGATTAAGATATTTATGTCTAACCAAAATGTCGTAAGTTCGAATCTCTCACCCCGTATATTGTACTAGAAAAGAAGAAAAACTGTATCATCTGAGTGGCATGTTATGTGTCTCAATATATTAATAAAATAATAGTTTAATATATAATACATAAACTTGTGATTAACAGATTTATTTTTAAAAAATGAGAATTTTTAATATATTAAGATAAAATAAAAAATTAGAAGATATTAAAGACCAAATTAAAATGACAAGAAAAATTAAGAGATAATTACATAAATAGCATAAGATAATTATATCATAAAGTTTAAAATTTACAAAAATAACATCATTCAATCAAAGTCAAATTCAAAGGTGTAAAGTGTATTAAGAAAAGTCAAAATTATATCATATTTTTTAAAAAACAAAAAAGTTGTGATATTTTAAAAATATATATTATTTATGCAAATGAAATTTTAGAATTTGAACATGTGTGTAATTGGAATTAGAATATGTGTCAATTATTAGCAACTTGGAACAACTGTTTTTTCCTATTAATTAATTTTTCGTGCATTGGTGTAACCACCTTTTTTTAAGTATTGTTTTGTTATGTTGATGAAATATCGAGGATAACGTTGGTTGGGATAATAAATAGACATAGCTGAGTAGAAAAGACACAAATTATTTTTTTTAAGTTTAAAAAATCAATTTTCAATCTCACAATTATTAAACTAAAAAAAATTAGGAGCTTCACTGGGTCATCCAAGGATTTATTGATGATAAATTCTTGATGAAATGACATGGTAGGATGAGTCTGGTTGAAGAGTCTCACTAATCGGAACTAGTATTAGGAATCTCACTACTCCGAGCTAGTACCTACATATCAGAATCGAGTACTGGTGTGGTGTTCGGAAAAATCCACTTTAAAACTCAAGTTAAGATTTAAGTTGAAGAGCGTGCGAGCTATAAGTTTAGTGCAAGAGAGTCTTGGTGGTGAGAGTCTGCACTTGTCAAGAAGAGGATACTTTGCTGATCGACTCTCCCGAAATAGGAACCGAGCTAACTTCCTCTCAACGCCACGCGAACCTCTCCTCCTCGACTTGGACACACCTGAGCTCCAACTCAAACCACATGTGCCCTCACAGGTGTGGTCCACGTGTCGCTCTTCACTCTATCCCATAACAACATTCTTCATTTGGGTTGATAATTAGTAACCAACGGTCTAGTTTAAGCTATTTTCCATGATCATTGAAAATCTAAGAAAAAGTTTTCGGCTAACAATATAATTTTTCTTAAATATTAATTTTTCAACTTAGCCTTCTACGATGGTATTTATAAGTTTCATTATCAAAATATAAAATAATTAACTAAAAATAATAGGCTTAGAAAAATAATTGTTTTTAATCAGGAAACGGTTCTCAATGTTTAAATTAACTTTACATTTTTGTTAAAAAAATTAACTTAACATTTTTTTTATAAAATTTTCTTAAATATTATTTTTACGATTTATACTAATTATATGACTATAATATCTGTGGAGAAAAAAAACTATTTAATATTAAAATAAAATAAAATAAGTGTATTAATATGTGATTAAATTAAAACCACTCATCTAGATAATGAATGAATTAGCAGCTAAACTTTTACATCAAAAGATGTTCAAAAGTTATAGATTTGTTTGGTATGCCATCTAGATTTGGTTTCTATTTTCAAATTCATTAAATAAAATGAATTTAATGAATATTAGTAGATTTCTTTTTTAAAACTATTTTTGAATTCTATGATTCAAACCGTGAAGATCTTGATAACAATATTTATATGTTTTTAGTATTTTCAAATTCTGAATTTGAAACCTTAAAATGAATAATTACATTTAGAAATATAAAAACTTTGATCAAATTATAAATTCATTTCATTTCTCAAATAAAATAAATATATATAATATAATATAATAATAATTCTATAAAATTTATTAATATTATTTTAGATTTAACTAAATATTTAGTTGTAACTAGTTTACAAATATACTATTAAATACATCAATTTGATTCTCTTTCCAAATCTATGCGATATTATTTAAAAATACGTAAAACAACCATATTTGAATGGAATTAATAATTTTCAGATTATCTCCAACTAAACGTACTAAGTGACTCGAACAATCCGGACAATCCAATTCAAATAAAAAAAAGGTTGAATTGGTTTTTTTAGAACCGAAAATTCAATTCGGTTCATAATTTGAAAGGTTTTTTTTGTCGATCCAATCCGAACCGAACTTAATATTAAATTAAAAAAAAAAGATTAGTGTTACTTGTTTGTTCTCACTTCTCAGCTGCCTCCCTTCCCTCGCGCTCGTCTTCTTCCCCTTCCTCTTTTCGCGTGTCGTCTCGTCAGTTCCTCGGGTCTCTCGGGTTTCGGATCGATCAAAAAATCCATCGAATCCGACCCGACCCCGTGAAAACCACTTATTCCCATCCTTTCAAGACCCGAATCATTCACAATGAAGAAAAAAAAAATTAATTAAAACGTGTGTAGATCTCGTCGTTAACTTTTCGTCAGCTCCTGATGTGAAGGAGAAACCATAAATTTGTGGGAAGGGGTAATTTTTTTGCCAACGCTCAATTCGTCTACTGGACTTCTTCGAGTGTGATTCCTCACATGAACATTTTGAAGCATGGAATTATCAGCAGACGACGATTTTCTCGCGTCACCAGATATGGCGGAGGTACTGTAAGTAGATCCCCTGGTCGACTATTTCAAATTCCGATCCCCGATTTTGGATTCTCATTCAAATATTCGTGTTTATTACCATTATCTTATCTGCTTACTTCATGTATTTGCTTGATTTACCTTCCTGAAATTTGAACTCTCTTGGAATCGATTGGCCAAATTTGTTCTCTGCCTTCTTAATTTTGACTTTAGGGTTTTACTTACTTGTACACTGAGTTTTTTTGTTTTTGTTGAAGCTCTTAATTCTCGCATTAGCATCTGAGTTCGTTGATGAATCATTTCTCCATTTCAGCATCGCAAATTTCCTTTATTCACTCACTGCAAGATCCGTTGTTGGAAGTTTGTTCTCAAGAGCAAGAAGTTGTGATTGCTTTAGGAAGCAATGTGGGTGATAGATTGTATAATTTCAATGAGGCTTTGAAATTAATGAAAAGGGAAGGGATACATATTACAAGACATGCTTGTTTATATGAGACAGCACCAGCCTATGTCACCGATCAACCTCAATTTCTCAACTCTGCCGTTAGAGCTTTCACAAAGCTTGGGCCACATGAACTATTGAGCACAGTTAAGAGAATAGAGAAGGAGCTGGGTCGTACTGCTGGTATACGGTATGGCCCGAGGCCGATTGACTTGGATATTTTGTTGTATGGAAGATATAGAGTACACTCGGATGTTCTCACTGTCCCTCATGAAAGAATTTGGGAAAGGCCATTTGTACTGGCTCCTTTGATTGATTTGCTGGGTTCAGATGTTGATACAGATGTTGTTTCTGGATGGCATTCTTTAGCTCCTGATCATGGTGGGCTTTTTGAATCCTGGGAGAAATTGGGTGGTGAATCTCTTATTGGTAAAGAAGGAATGCGAAGGGTTTTGCCCATTGGAAACAGCTTATGGGACTGGTCCTGCAAGACTTCCATCATGGGGATCCTTAATTTGACACCTGATAGTTTTAGTGACGGAGGCAAGTTCCAATCCGTTGAAGCTGCAGTTTCTCAGGTGCGTTCAATGGTTTCGGATGGTGCTGATATGATTGACATTGGTGCTCAATCAACACGGCCCATGGCACCTAGGATTTCTGTTGAAGAAGAATTAGATAGATTGGTTCCTGTTTTGGAAGCTGTGACAGGAATGCCAGAGATGAGTGGCAAGCTCATATCTGTAGATACGTTTTATTCGGAAGTCGCTTTAGAAGCTGTCAAAAAAGGGGCTCATATTGTAAATGATGTATCTGCTGGGCAGTTGGATCCTCAAATGCATAGTGTTGTTTCTGATCTTGACGTGCCTTATATTGCAATGCACATGAGAGGAGACCCATATACAATGCAAAACACTCAGAATTTACAGTATGATGATGTCTGTAATCAGATTGCCTCTGAGCTACACTTGAGGATTAGAGATGCAGAATCGTCAGGCATCCCAGCCTGGAGGATAATCGTTGATCCCGGGATTGGGTTTTCGAAGAATACCAAGCAAAACTTGGAAATTCTTACAGGTCTACCAAAGATCCGAGCAGAGATTGCAAGGAGAAGTTTGGGATTGTCTCATGCTCCTATGTTGTTTGGACCTTCAAGAAAGAAGTTCCTCGGTGAAGTGTGTTCGCGATCTGTTGCAACAGAGCGAGATCCTGCAACGGTTGCTGCAATTACCATAGGGGTTCTCGGTGGTGCAAACATCGTTAGAGTTCATAATGTGAGAGATAATGCAGATGCAGTGAGTCTATGTGATGCGATGGTGAAGGAGAAAAGAGCTGAAGCGTGATCTTAGAAACACAAACTTTTGTTTCGATAATTTATTTTCAAAAAATGATGTATGCTTACCGTTACACCTTTTCATTCTCATTTTCTGTCAAATTACTATTTTTGGATAATTTGGCATCTGCTTTTGTTGAGAGACTGAAGGAATAAAGCTTCCTGTAAT